CGTTTTAAACAAACAATTTAATACTGTTCACAGCTATGATGATTGTGAACCTTGGTTGAGGTGGTGAAGTTAGAGGGTGGAAGAGGGAGGGATATTTCCTAGGGAATGCCTTGCTGCTAAATGATGAACTAGCACTTGGCTGAGCCCTCCAGGGTTAACACATTGTTGTTAATGTAGCCTTTCACACAAGGCAGCACGAACACCAGGGAGGAGAGACAGCGTAGCAGACAGAGACAGACACACACCTTGTGTGTGGGAGAGAGAGATGCGCACTGCCCCTTTAAGTAAGCAGACCCCACTCTTAAGTGCATTGTCTTTTTAAGTGGATCAGGAAGTTGAGACAGCAGCTGCTGCCCCAGGCGCTCTCTGTCTCTCTCCCTCTGTGTCCCCTCCCTGCTCTATATGGAGAAGGGGTAAGCAGGGTGCAGGAGCAGGGGGGAGGGGGACATTAGTGCCCCCCCCCCCGCACAGCTAGCAGGAGTCTCTGGGAGCAGCTCCAAGGCAGAGGGTAGGAGTAGCACAGGGCAGTGGGAGGAGGGGCAGCTGAACTGCCCAGCAATTGATAGCCTGCTGGGCGGCTGCAGCACAGGGAACTTAGGGGAGCAGGGAGCTGATAGGGGGGCTGCCGGTCCACCCTGGTTACAAGCCCCCACCAGCTAGCTGCAACGGGCTGCTCTTCCTGCAAGCAGTGGACAAAGCAGGCGGCTGCCAAAGATGTTAGAAGGGAGCATTGCACAACTTTAAACGAGCATGTTCCCTAATTGATCAGCAACGAAACAATTTTAACTGGGACGACTTTAAGTGAGGAGTTACTGTATATGTTAGCAATCTCTGCATTTGGACAGAGATCAGTGGCTGATAAAGGGATATTTATTGGTGGGAGGGAGAAAAGGCCATTTTCTCCAATAAGCAATATTTAAAGTAAAAGGTGATCCATCACCTTTGGTGGTAGGAAGATATCCCAAAAAATGGACAAGATAGGCTGCAATAATTATAGAATCATAAGGTAGATGGAAAAGTTCACCTGGTCCATCTCCCTGCTGATACAGAATTTACTCCACAGGAAGTTTTCCCTACTATTCTGTTTACTTTAATTTTAAATGTCCCAAACAATAATTCTTCTGCTTCCCCTTAACAGGCTAACCAGCACTCATTTGTCAAGGTTTTTACTTTTCTTAATTACATCCTGAGATGTAGTTATACTGCTGTGTGCCATTCTAAATAATTCCTTTCTTTTTTTTACTGTTTGCACACTATAGATATTTTCGGAGAATGTCTCACTTATCCGCCTCCTTGTCCACACTTAAGTCTCTTAATCTTTGCTCATAAATTGACCACAGACATTAGACTCTGCTTTTCTTTGAACCCCCATCAGCTTGCTTTCCATGACATCATGAACCATGAGAGTAAAGCTAAAATTGCTAACAGCAAGAGGTGAAAAATTCAATATACTACCCTGCAAACATTTTTATTCAAGGGGATTAAATGGGGTTTAGTAGTCAGAACACATAACTAGGACCTTTCTGTCTGAGGTGGGCAAGTCTCAGCTATGCTTCGGTGTGCCCATCTGCAAAATAGGTATAATCCTGATCTTACCAGGCTGCTGTGAAGATTGATTGTATGTCATTTTGTGATCCTAGACTGAAAGGCTCGATTGTTATATTATAACACATGGAAACGAATGGGTAACTATAGATGAGACTAGTGCAGCAGAACAATTAGATATGGTTAGTGTTACAATGGCAGCTGTTAGTGAGATTAAATTGGGATTTAGTCTCATGACATCATTTTGAACTGCAAGTGACATGTCTGGTTGTCCTAAAAATGTTAGATTGGTCGATTTTCTATTTTATTAGATGGATAGACTAAGTAAGGCTTAGTTCACAGTATTAGGATGCATGTTCAGTAGTTGCAGATTGCAGTACAATACTTTGGTGCCCATTCAGTTATGAATATTTATTGGGGTAAAAAGAGAAGAATGAAATGCTCTGAAGAACAGAATTTTCCCAAGACAAATCAAGGCATAAAAATGATGAGTTCATAAATTTTAATTGTTTAAACAGATGAAGAGCCTCTGTTACGGGACTCCAAACAGGCTTGTTATCAGATTGTGCAAAATGCTGGGCCAAGGATTTTTTTTTGTTTGTTTTTTGTCCAGAATGTCTTTTGATAACTGCCCCAGTAGAATGCTGTATCTAGCTGCTGTATAGAGGAAGTAACCGTCAGGTTCCCTCCATGTAGCCCTATGACCTCACTCCCGTTCCTGTTTTTTTTTTCATTAGTTGTCCCCCGTATTTATTTGGTATCACAGACCTGTGGATCCTCCCCTTAGGCTGAGGGGAGGTCCTTTCGCAGTGGGCGGGCTTCCCCCGCCCACTTCCTGGATACCAACGGGTATAGAGGAAGTAATGAAGCTGTTAATGTTACTAATATTATGACATCCAAAGCACTAGCTCCAGCCATGCTTTTATTTTGTGATTCCTTAAGTCTCCAAAGCTGTATCTGTCTGTGAAGTGTGGAAAGAGGAGCAAAGTGTTTGCTTGTGCTGGTAAATTTCTTATTGTGACATGGAACGTGGAGTAGGTTTAGGAAAAAATCCAGCAGACTCATTTATAATGGAATAATAGAATGATGGGAGGGGGTTTTGCACTTTAGGGGAAGGGGCATTACTTGAGAGAGAGCAACTCTAGGCTTATGATTTGGAAGTGCTTATGCTTAATATTCTCACTATATTTCTGCTGCAAGTATTTTAATCTAAAGGCATCTTTTTTGTGTGTCTTACTTTACAGACTGTAAGCTCTGTCACTTCTCTGCTTTTGAACAAAGGAAATCTATCTGCGTTCTATTGAAAAGATGCAAACAAAATGACCTCTTTTCACCCTGTTACACTCCGTATATGCAAATATGTATATATCCCCATACATACTATCTATACTCTAAAATTTCTCCTGCATAGAAAAGTGTACCTTTTATTTTTTTACTGGAATGCCTAATACTCTCTTATGGAATTCACCATTCAGTACAAGAGGAATTTTGAAAAGCCAGGATTTTCTAGATACTATTTGATGTTTGTTAAACAACTGTTTCTATGATGTGATTTCTACTAGTAATGTACCCATTTATACACATTGGTGTATTATCACATCATGGAGAATGATTGGCAGACAACTTTTTCCTCTAACTTTTCAGATTTTATTTAGTCCCCCAAATTCAGGCGAGAAACCTGGGGTGAGATTCATTAAGTTTCTGGCCCTGCATACCACAATTTCTATGTCTTGTACAGATATCACCCTGCCCTTTATACACCCCACCCCAGAAAAATGCCTTGATTGTTCCTGAAACTTGAAAGCTACAGTGAAAAGGCTAGATAATAGGGGTCACGCTTCATGTGAAAACTTGCTATTAAGGGGAGTATTCCAATTTTATTCCAATATGATAGTACGGTAGAACCTGAGAGTTACGAACACCTCGAGAAAGGAGGTGGTTGTAACTCTGAACAAAATGATTTTTGAAGTGGTAAGAGAGTGGCCCATTACAGCAACTACACACCACACAACAAAAACACCAACCCAGGAACCAAACCTTGCTACAAACCCCTGTGCCAACTTGGTCCACATATCTATTCAAGGGACACCATCATAGGACCTAACCACATCAGCCACACCATCCGGGGCTCATTCACCTGCACATCTACCAAGGTGATATATGCCATCTTGTGCCAGCAATGCCCCACCGCCATGTACATTGGCCAAACCGGACAGTCGTGACACAAATCTGACATCAGGAATCATAACATTCAAAAACCAGTAGGAGAACACTTCAGTCTCTCTGGTCATTCAATAACAGACCTCAAAGTGGCAATTCTTCAACAAAAAAACTTCAAAAACAGACTCCAACATGAAGCTGCAGAACTGGAATTAATTTGCAAACTAGATACCATCAGATTAGGCCTGAATAAAGACTGGAAGTGGTTGGGTCATTACAAAACCTAAACTTAATTTCCCCAATACTAATTTCTCCCTACTGTTACTCACACCTTCTTGTCAACTGTCTGTAATGGGCCACTCTCTTACCACTTCAAAAGTTATTTCTCCTCCCTTGGTATCCTGCTGTTAATTGATTTATCTCGTTAGACTGACTTAACACTTGGTAAAGCAACCTACATCCTTTCATGTATTTATACCTGCTCCTGTATCTTTTACGTCATACATCTGATGAAGTGGGTTTTACCCACGAAAGCTTATGCCCAGATAAATTTGTTAGTCTCTAAGGTGCCACAAGGACTCCTTGTGTGTTTTGTTTTTTTGCTGATACAGACTAACACGGCTACCACTGAAGTCTGAACAAAATGTTATGGTAGTTCTTTCAAAAGTTTACAACTGAACATTGACTTAACGCAGGTTTGAAACTTTATTATGCAGAGGGAAAATGCTGCTTTCCCTTTATTTTTTTTTAGTAGTTTACATTTAACACAGTACTTTATTTGCTTTTTAATTTTATTTATTTATTTATATATTTATTGGTCTCTGCTGCTACCTGATTGTGTTCTTTCAGTTCCAAATAAGGTGTGTGGTTCACTGGTCAGTTTGTAACGCTTGTGTTTGTAACTCTGAGGTGCTACTGTATGCTGATTAGTACTGATTCTGAAATATGTCGCCCATTATAAAATAGGAAATAAGGCCAGTAAACTTTTAACGAGAAAATGAGTTTTTAATGGACTTTAAAGGTGTCCTTACTAACAGATATTGCACCCATTAAGTATGGTCCTGTACTGCAATACGTGATAACACAAACTAAAAAAAAATCCCTGTTTGGCGATAATTATAGAACAATGTTTTGGGGAAAGCAAAATCTTCTGCTGGACATAGCTGCAAATAAAAGCTGCCATTTCTGCAAGTTCTGGTTCGGGCAAGGAAAGGGGGGATTGGCTTTTCTCTCTGATATGGATGGATAAATGTGTTTCAAAGGTGTAATGGCTCTAATCTTGTATGTATTAAAAGGGCTCGCATGTGAGGCAAAGGAAAGAAGTTTACTTTGACGGACAAAGGAAAAAGGACTGGCATGATAAAGAAGCTATAAGGAGGGACTTGGAGCGCATAGGTATGTAAGATCACTTATAAATGTATCTAATGTGGATCATAAAATGCTGTGGTCCCTTATTCAGCAGTCTGAAGGTGGGGGAACAGCATGTTCGTATGTTCTTAACACTGCTCAACATCAGCTGCCTCTGTACAGGGAATGAAGCATTTTTGCCAGTCTCTTGAGTAGGAAGATGGTGGCAGCATATTGGCACTTTGAGGGTGGGTGCTGTTTAAAAAATTATAGATGCCTTTACAGTTCTGACAAATATTGCGGACCCATGAAAGTAGAAACATTGTTTTGTAAAAACTACAAGCGCTGTCATTCTAGAGGAATCTGTTCTGTTTCCCTAGTTTGAGACACAATTCAGAATGCTTAAATTCTAATACAAAAGGGTTACGATGGTGAAGGACGCTTACAAACATGTGGAAATGTAAAGTTGAGGCTGCCTTGTTCACCTTAACAAAAATTTTCCAATGTTTCCCTTTAAAATGTCAGTGTCTGCTTTGGGATGAGTGGGGAGGCTGAGATGAGAAATGTTTATACCATGTACATGCCCTCACATCTTTAAACCAAAAGAAACCTAATGGATCCAGCTTTGGTCCTACCAGTCTCTATTCCTTTAATTCTGGCTTCAGAGTGAAGAGCTTAATGTTTCATATTTGCACACCTGAGTGGTGTGTTTCTAGCAAAATATACAGTACCCATTAAAATAAGTTTCATAGACTCTAGGACTGGAAGGGACCTCGAGAGGTCATCGAGTCCAGTCCCCTGCCCTCATGGCAGGACCAAATACTGTCTACTAGACCATCCCTGATAGACATTTATCTAACCTACTTTTAAATATCTCCAGAGATGGAGATTCCACAACCTCCCTAGGCAGTTTATTCCAGTGTTTAACCACCCTGACAGTTAGGAACTTTTTCCTAATGTCCAACCTAAACCTCCCTGGCTGCAGTTTAAGCCCATTGCTTCTTGCTCTATCCTTAGAGGCTAAGATGAACAAGTTTTCTCCCACCTCCTTATGACACCCTTTTAGATACCTGAAAACTGCTATCATGTCCCCTCTCAGTCTTCTTTTTTCCAAACTAAACAAACCCAATTCTTTCAGCCTTCCTTCATAGGTCATGTTCTCTAGTCCTTTAATCATTCTTGTTGCTCTTCTCTGGACCTCTCCAATTTCTCCACATCTTTCTTGAAATGCGGTGCCCAGAACTGGACACAATACTCCAGCTGAAGCCCAACCAGCGCAGAGTAGAGCGGAAGAATGACTTCTCATGTCTTGCTGATGAAGTTAACCCAGTGCTGCGATTTTCTTAGAACTCAGAATATATATCAGACTATGTACAAACAGTGTTGTTGAAGGAAGAATTTTCACAGAAAAGATGACTGCTTTTGGGTCAGTCTCTGGCCACTTAGGCTGTGATTCGCCATAATGATACAGGTTTATTTTGTATCTATCATAGGAAATGGAGAGCAGGGAAAACCTTACCCGATGACTGATGCAGAGCAAGTGGACCAGGCATACAGGGAAAATGGTTTTAATATCTTTGTGAGCGATAAAATTTCTCTTAATCGCTCCCTTCCAGATATCAGGCACCCAAAGTGAGTATACACTTGGTATTTGTGTTATTGAACGTGTAGATGCCCTAATTTGCTATTCCCACTTGAAATTATTCTATTTCTGTATTTCATTTTTATGTACTGTTGCAGGCTAGCCTTCGAATGTGAGGCTTCCAAAGCTGGGGGCCTGTTGACTCCGGTGTCCTCACAGCACCGTGTACACTAATTGGAGTAAAAATAAACTCGTATTCTCGTGTGTGCCCCCGAGGAGCACTGCCTGAAAACCTACATTTAGCTGGGAAATAAATGCTGCATGGGCAGAAGCAACGAAGGCTTCCCCAGACTGGCATTTGCCAGTGAGCCTCAACCCTTTCGGGGAGGTGGCTACCTCCTGCCTCATAGATCACTTTTCATGCTGATTAAATTCTTGTGTACTGAAATGGCCACAACCATAGAACAATTAAAGTGAAGTTTTTATGGTGCTCTCTCGACTGGAAATGGGATTTAAATGTCCAGCTCATTTGACAACTGCACCAGAGAGCCATCAGATGGTAATGACTTTGTCACTAATTACCTGGGCTAGTTTTGCATAAGTGACTAGCTGGAAGTGAGACTGTACAGTTCCATGAGCCACTAATTCCTTTTGGAAGTCTGACACAATCTAAGTTTCACAATCTTGAAACATCTAGGAGGGAAAAAGAATTTTAGAGCATTCCAAAAAGATTGACTAATGTGAATGGTCTATGCAGTGAATTTTCTCAGATACTCAGGGCTTTATAATAAACTTCTCGTTCTAGGGATTATAAGCATGGCCACAAAGTAGCTCCAGTCAGAAACTACTTTTGACTCTTGAATTCAGCTAGTTAAGATGTCTTTCCTGTGGAGTGGCATCAAATTTTACTTAGTTTTTAGATAATTGCTAAGGAGAAAATCCTTCATGTTCATGCAGTCATAAAAAGCTTGAAAATTTTAGCCTTTCCTAAACAATGCCACAGAGTGCTTTTGATTATGGGGGGTATATGGTTCTTAGTCACTTTATGAACTTATCTTTTTAAATACTCAAGTGCAAATTTCTTCCATGGAAAGCTTTTTCAAACTTGATGGCAGTAATTTCATCTACAAGTCTTGCAAACAAATTAGAAGCTAGGACTCATTTTTTAAAAAATCTTTCCTTTTTCTGTCTCAACTTTGCTATCTCATTAGGAACATAACTGAGCTTCAGGTAACTTTAACTCTGCTAAACTGCATTTATTTGGATTGTTTTGGGCTTTGAGAATTTAAGCTTTAGCTGGTACCAGTTTCCCTTAACCTGAGGAATCAATGTATTGACTCATGTTCCCTAAGGTTTCACTAAGTTGCAGAATTAGCAATCAGAAGTCAGCTACTTTAACTTTTGTAAAATGTCTAACTTCAGACCCTGGTCCCTAGTTAAAATTAATAAGTGAAATGTCTGGGTCACCAACAATTTAAGCTGTGACTAATGAAACCAATGCAGCTGGTTTTCTGGAGTTAAACTTCCCTTACCGTAGCAAGTTGCAATTTTATGTGAGTCTCAACAAGAGGATAAACGGTATTGGATATAATTGATGCTAGGATTAGCTAGAGAAATGAACAGGGTTATATATAAAGGAGACTTGAAATGAAGGCACTAATGACCGAACGTTTCTGGTGTGCATTCTCCCCTCCTTAAAAAGATGCATTTGGAAATGGAGTATTTAATGTTTCATAGTGATGTGATGAGGGCAATTTATAATGAAGTTTGGGTAAGATGAAGTCTATAAGAGCATTTTCCAAAGAACTGAACATGTTGTAGAATACTCTGAATTAATACCACCCCATTAATTCCTGGAATAGGAGCTGAAATTGGTTTTATATTCAGGAATATGCCCCAGGCAGAAGGTTATAGATTTAAGATTCTCACCAGATACAGCTTGTGTTGGCCTGTTAAACGTAGAAGCTCTGGTAAAGAGAGCTGGATCACCTTGAGCACCTGTAAAGTATAGCTTTCTGCTTCTATAGCTCACTTCCCTTGTGTTCTGCAAAGAGTATTTGAATAAGCCATTGTGCTATATTGCATGCTAATGTAAGAGGGCTTTTAAAGCAATTGTAGAAATAATACCAGGAGAGAATAAACTTTGTTTGTAAACCTAACAGTGATTGCAGTTAAATATGACACTGATTATCCCCAGCCCCTCCCCGTTTATAACCTTTCACATTAAATAGCCTTATTCTGTCTCACCTGTAACATCCCATAGTATTTGTGCCTTCATCTGCGCTTTGCCAGCTGTTGGGGACTGCTAGTAGTAAACAGAATAGTACTTTTGTGTTGACTCAGTTCAAGTGTAGCTGGAGAGGATCAGTAAGAGTTTTTAATGAAGCTGAGCCACTAATGTTTTCAAATAAACTATTTGTGGTCTGTGTGTCTGCATTGTCAGCAAAGGTCTTATTTTAAAAAAAAAAAAAAAAGAGGTAGCTGATATGCAGTCTTTGCTTTTCCTCCCCCCAATAACTAGCAGATTTAACAGTGGGGGAAAAAATGGGCAACAGATGTTTTCCTAATGCCATCGAATTTATTCTTGATCATAAAATTGCAATCACTGAATAAATCTTGTACAATAGTAGTTAGTGAGTTATCTTGAATGAACTGTCGCAGTAGAAGATTTGTACTAGACTCGAGCATGAGTTTCACAAGCTTTCACAGTGATCGAAGTAAACGCAAACCTTCCATACTGTGCTGTATAGTGATTGCTTGGCACTGTCAATGTTGTTAAATCATATGAAGACAATGGATTATACAACAGATAAGAATGAACCGTGAATCCCTGAATTTTTGTTACATTGCGATTGCAGAGATGCCAGCCGTCCCTAATTTTCCATAATTCACCCAGTTTGTGCTTGTAATTACAAAATTTCTAATTTAGGCTTCAATGTGTTAATTTTGCAAGCACACATTTTATTTTGTGTGTGTGTGTGTGTCTGTGTGTGACTCACCACCACTCTGGTCCAATGAACCCATCAAATAGCGCTGCGGCCGTGGTGGAAGTGCGTGGCATTCTTCTCCACTGCCCCTGTGGTAGATGATCAGACTGCATAGTAAGGATCTGACAGGAGGCAAGCCGGGTGATTTTGAATGGGTTGGAGCACTGCTGGATTCACCGCCCTAGTCACAGGCTGTGTGTTGCATGCCGACTGCCCTGTGTGGACCCTGCTAGTGCACTCTGAATACCAGCCGGGTCCACATGGAACAGAATGCAACATGCTGCCTGTGACTTGGGTGGTGAATCCAGCACCCCAAAACCCACTAACTCTCACAGTGGCTTGCCTCCTATTCAACCCTCACTGCACAGTCTATGAGAGAGGAGAAGCTACAGGAGAAGGCAGCAGCATCAGAGGAGTAAAGAGGGAACGCAACTGAGGATGGAGAAGAAGAGGATCATCATCCTAGGACGGAGGTCCAGGCCTTAGGGGCATAGGAGGGCAGCTGTCCTAGAGCCAGTCCTCCTTTTCTCCCTGTTTTTGGGGTGGGGATTGGGGTGAGATGGGGGGAGCCCAGACCCTCTCCTTGACCATACATGGGGAGAGGATGGGGCAGAGGTCCTCGTTTCTGTGGGGGGGAGAGAAGGTGGGGAAAGGAAGAGATCCAAGCAATCTCCCTAATTCCTCCGTAACATTTTTCTTAAGCATCCCATAAAGTCTCAGCGCAAGGCTGGCATGTCTGCTATCGCTGTCTACAACAAAACCGTATGAGAGTCCCTGTGAGATGATGCTGACGTTCCAGTAGGTTTTGAACATTCTTTGCTGTGTGCCTTTGTGAGAAAGGTGACACTTTGAGCATTACCATTTTGTACCATGAGTTGCTGCAAATGAGTCTGCTTAACGAAGGCTGTAAAGGCAAATATGCTGATGCCGTCCCCAGAAGTGCTGTTAGAAATAGCACCTCCCTCCTCGAGAGTCAAAGCTGCAAGAGAAAGATGTGCAATATTTGGTTGCTTGTCCACCCACAGATCAAGGGTGCTTGTTTTTATTTTCTGGATAATAACTACTGCGGGTGGATGAGTTTGGAGAATATATGGCCGCCTTCATGGAAACGTGTGTAAACAGTTTTTTCCAGTCTAAGCATTTCCTTTATTGGTATAGAAATAGGTATCCTCAGAATGGCAGATGAGTTTGCAGGATAGGGGCTCTCGGGCACAACTAGCCCAAGTAAATAGATGTTACTTTTAAATAATCTTAAGGAAACTATCTAGGTAAAACCTGCATCCAGCTGAAATACTTAAGTTTTAGCTGGATGAATATTAAAAGAACATAGTTATTGGCTGATCTTGTTTAAGCCTCTGTCTCACACTTGGAAACTAAAATAAGCTAGATCATTGTATTTATAATGACAGAGCAGAACTAAGCCTCTCACCCTTTGAAATAATACTTTCAGAGAAATCCCTCTCCTGAAGGTTGTTGGGGAATGGGAATAAAAGCAGAACTACCAGAAAGCTGTCAATAGACTTCTGCACTTTTGAGCTGTAAAGAGAACTGCTTCTAAAGGCAACCTTGGCAGGTGATGGAAAGCACTAAATGACTTCTGTATCTTAAAAATGTTCTCCATTACTCTTTAATGCCACTTTTGATACTTGTAACATGACAGTATGGAAATAGTATTTTTAATCTGTGTTATATTAATTCATTAACTCATTGCTGGCTAGTGAACATGTAGCTTATGGATATCTATCAGAAAGCTGTTTTTAATATATGTAGGTAGCTGCTTCACAAGTCGTTGAGAATTAATTGAGAGTTACTTGGAAGGTAACGGATATAGAAGTTATAGTGTTTAATGTGTCTGTTTTCTTGGTATGTTTATAACTTGTTTTATCCCTGTCTAGCTGCAATACCAAGCTGTACCTGGAGAAGCTCCCAAACACCAGTGTGATAATCCCATTCCACAATGAAGGATGGTCATCTCTCCTCCGGACAGTGCACAGCATCCTAAATCGCTCTCCTCCTGAGCTGATAGCAGAAATTGTGCTGGTGGATGACTTTAGTGACAGAGGTACAGTGACTTCCTATGTAGCATCTCTACCTATAGCTACATAAACTACCTGGCAAAATGCACAAAAGTATAGTAAAGAAGAGCAGATTATTGTTATCTGCCAAGAGCCAGCTTTAGGATTTTGGTGTCTCCAGTAACAGTCAGTTGATGTCTCAATAAGGCCTTCAACAGAGCAAGAAGCTACATTTCCTGCAGCACTTGCATTACTTTAGGTATTGGTGACAACAGCGATTTTCACAGCACTGAGATTAGTCTCGGTGGTAAATAAGGAAAGTAAGTGCTATTAATGTATTCATCAGCAAAACTCTGTGAGTACTGAGTTAATGATTTGGGTTCTTAAACACTTCCTATTTTGGTTTCTTAACAAATCAAAAGTGATATTTTTTTTAAACAAGATTTTCTTCCTTCATACAGAAAATAATTCTGTATTAAGGAAAATATTAAAATTAATCTTGATGAATTGTTTTCATCCTAGAGACTTCATGGTTTAACATTTTTAGCTTTCCAGAAGTAAAAATAAATTTGGAAAATCCATAACCTTCATAATACCCAGCTCTCATATTTCACTTTTCACCAGTAGATCTCAGTGTTTTACAAAGGAGGTCAGTATCATTATCCCCATTTTACAGACAAATAAACTAAGGCACAGTGGCATGTAGTCTTACTCTCATAAGAACGGCCATGTTGGGTCAGACCAGTGGTCCAGCTACCCCAGCTGTCTTCCGACAATGGCTAATGTGAGGTGCCTCAGAGAATGAACAGAATAGGCAATCAAGTGATCCATTGTCTCATCCATTCCCAGCTTCTGACAAACAGAGGCTAGGGACACTCAGAGCATTGTGTTGCATCCCTGCCCATTCTGGCTCATAGCCATTGATGGACCTATCCTGCAGGAACTTACCTAGTTCATTTTTGAACCATGTTATAGTTTTGGCCTTCACAACATCCCCTGCCAAGAAGTTCCACAGGTTGACTGCATTGAGTGAAGAAATACTCTCCATTTCTCTCTCCCCTTCTCCAGGCACAAAAAATTCCAAGCAATGGAGATCACACTGTCCATTTACATCCTGATTTCAATTCATACTGATGTACCTGAAAATCCTCATAGTGATAGATTAGGTATAACCATAAACAATATTAAGTCTCCCTCCTGTATTTGCCACATTGCTCTGTTGATTCTGCAGCAGAAATTGTGCTGCACAGCAAGAATTCAACAGTATAGTTGTAGTGTGTGCAGTCATCTGTGTTCATTTCTGTAGGCTAATAAGCGCAGAAGCTGGAGATGAGCCCAACACAAAGTGGCATTTGTGTTTTACACAAAAAGGGAATGGCCTTAAATTGCAAAAAGAATTTGTTCCTTTGGATCTGCTTGGACCACCATATGCAATGCTATATTAAATTAAACTGTGATTTAACTACTTAGGATAAAAGTGAGGGCTAGTAACCCTCACGCTTCATGGCATAAAATGACCATTAGACGGAAGAAATAATTCCGCTAACCTCTTTTATGTTGTTGCAATTTGAAGTCTCACGTGGGGTTTGTACCTTCTCTGAAGCATCCAACATTAGCCAAAATCTGAGATGGAATACTGACCTTATGGGATCATCAGTCTGGTCTAGCAATTCTTAAGGTTTTTTCCATTTTAATGATCAAAGAACAAGAAGGTAATTACTTTATGCTGCAAGGTGTTTTCTTTAACAAGATCCTTCCATCTGGACTTACACAAGGAACACAGGGCTCTCTCCATGAGAGTGGTATTATGAGATGCGTTTCCAAGTAAAAATCTTGAGGGTGAGAAATAGCTGCTATGACTGATTCTGAAGCTCCAATCAAACCATGAACTCAAACACCAATCAGTTGTGCTCTGACCCATATTGACTTGGAAATGCTAAGTGCGGCCCTACAGCTACAGTACTTCTCCTGAAGTGTAACTTTCACTAGCTTGCAGGCAAAGCTCATTAGGTGTTAGATATATGGCATCGGTGTTTAAAGTATTTTGAGACTGTCAGAAGAAAATACATTTTCAGCAAGCCCTCTTTTCTTCATCTTGGCATAAAAGATTAGAAGCAGAAAAGTGAAATCAGGTGATTGGATCAACTCTCATGCTGTAACCAGATCTGCATTACATAAATAAAAGTTTCACTTTCCACACCCTACTTAATCATTGTGGATGGGGATTGTTTCTGCCCATCAGTAAGTTTTTGTTTCTCTTTTTCCTCTGTTTATTCGCCTTTCCTGCACAGTAGCATTCCCTGCTGATCCCAGCTGCTTTTTCCGGTGACTGGTATTCTTTCTTCACCACACTGAAGTAATTTGCAAATCCCTCTCTGTCCCTAAATAGACTTTTTCAAAGTCTTGAGGAGTCAGCGGCAGCAGCAAATCCTTAAATGTGTGATCTTCACTTGAAAGTCAGCCACTCTGAAAGCCCTGGGTTTTTGAGGGGTGAGGGGAATGTAATTTAAAAGACTTATTCAAAATGCTTGGCTCTAGGATTGAGAATTCTTGCAAAGTTAACAGCTGCATAATGTGTCTCTCTCTCCCTCCAATGGAGCTTTGTCTTTAAACATTGCACTTAGAAGGCTACATAGCTTCCCTGGGCTTGGATCCAATAGAACGCTGGTCTGGCCACATGCTTATACCAATGTTAAGATGGACAAGAATTGAAGACCTTGTCGTATGTCCAGTGGCTGTGCCAAAAATACAACCAAACCAGTGGACACTTAAATAAAGAACCGTCTTTAATTTTTTTTCTATCTTTCTAAAACATGAGTGAACTTAGAACTATAGAAGTCAAGGAACTAATGGTAGTGCCTTGAGCCAAGGATACGTGGGACTAAGCTTCTCTCTCCACTTGGTGGTCCTGGCATGAGCTCCATAAATCTCTCCCAGTTCACCTCTCCTGAATTGCAGACCTGTTGTTTATAATTAGATGCTCCAGCTGAGATCAGGACCCCACTGTGCTGGTGCTGTACAAAGAGTGAGTGACAGCCCCTGCCCCAAAGAGCTTACAGTCTAAATAAGCCAGGCAGGCACAAGGTGAAAAGGTGGTATGGAAAGTGACTTGCCCAAGATCATACAGCAGGTCTGCGACGGAGCACCAATTCTGCATCTCTTTCTAGTCCTGCAAGATGCACAAACCTACTAAAAAGTATCACTTTGACCCCTTCTCACCACAGCCTGCAATAATAAAGTATATTTTTAGGGTTGGCTTAAGAGGATTTTGCCAACAGATCACCCCAATCCAAGTATGATCAAGGTAGTAAAATATCACATGTGTTCTGCTTGCACTTCAAAGCAAGGAAAGTTTAGAGGAGTGTCTAAACAGCCCTGCCAGATCTTTTTAATATAAATTTTTTTTTAGTGATATACTTCCGAAAAGCTGGGCAACCCTAGCAAGCCTGTTTGTCAGACATAGTGTGAGGTTCTGTGTGCTTAGCACTGAACCACAGTGAGCTTGAACTTAGCTTGAGCTGGGAAAGTCCCTGAGGATTTCCATGTATGTGCTGCAGTCTTATCCATGCCTTCATTTTAACAGAAGTTGTCTACAGAATACTGCAAGCAGTGAGACTGTCTTCTTTTCCTATCGCTCACATTTTTGGCTTATTTTAACACTGTTTACTCAGTCTCTTCATAGGTAGTGAATCTTTGTATTTCAACCTGAAAATGTTACTGCAAAGGATTCCATTTGTGACTACCATAGTTGATGTGGTAACTTGGTTACAGCAGACAGGTGTTTTCCTGCCAGGTGTTAAATCCATCTTCCCCTTTTAATCTGTGTTCAGCTTCAGAAATAGAGACTGGGAATTTCTAGTACTGAGAAGTGGGATGGGAAGTGACCAGTGAGCCGGTGAAAGTAGATAAGAAATTGAAGAAATATAGGGGGAAAATGGGGGTGGGGGGTTGGTGACTGCCAAATTTTGCTCCAGAGCACACCATTAAAGGCAACTGTTTTTTTGTTTTGTTTGTTTGTTTTTTGCATTAGTAAAGCCCTTAGACTAGTGAATCATTATCTGGAAGTGTCAACAAAGAGCTATTTATTTCATAATTTAAGGAGGGAGACAATTCTGTGACCTATAGCAGTAAACATTTTTCAACCTAAAAAGGTTATCCTGACTACAGTGCATTTTAATATGCTCCAGCAAAGGCCTTACTAAGCAGGATTTTTGAAATGTTTAATTTATTACTCATTACAGTACCTCCTTCTTATACAAACACAGGGCACTGTTTTTTCATCCTGCTTCTTTCCCATGCCTGTAGTATGATAGATCAGATCAAAATATATTCTTATAAAGCATATGGTAGCCAATAACTAGCAAGAGAGCGAAGTTACTGCAGAAAAGGCTAGCTGTCTAAATCAGAAGTGGGCAAACTACGGCCCGCGGGCCCCTCCTGTCCGGCCCCTGAGCTCCTGGCCTGGGAGTCTAGCCCCCGGCCCCTCCCCTGCCGTTCCCCCTCCCCCGCAGCCTCTGTTTGCTCCACCGCCGGCGCAATGCTCTGGATGGCAGGGCTGTGAGCTCCTGGGGCAGCACAGCTGCAGAGCTGCGGCCTGATCCAGTCTCTGTGCTGTGCGGCTGGCTCCAGCCGGGTGGCGCGGCTGCCTGTCCTGGTGCTCTGGGCGGTGCGGCTGTAGTGTCACAAGCCACCGGTGCTCCAGGCAGCGCGGTAAGGGGGCAGGGAGCAGGGGGGGTTGGATAGAGGGCAGGAGAGTTTGGGGTGGTGGTCGGGGTGGGGGTGTGGATAGGGGTTGGGGCGGTCAGAGGGTGGGGAACAGGGGTTGAATGGGGGCGGGGAACCTGGGGGGGGCAGTCAGGAAGGACAGGAGGGGTTGGATGGAGCGGCGGGGGGCAGTCAGGGGCAGGGGTTCTGGGGGCTGTCAGGGGACAGGGAGCGGGAGGGTGGATGGGGTAGGGGTCCCAGGGAACGGGGGGGGTTGGATGGGGCAGAAGTCCAGGGGGGAGCCATCGGGGCAAGAAGCAGGGGGGGTCGGATAGGGGGCGGG